CTTGAGGGAGAAACGAAATGTTTTCAAAGAAAAGTGGGGGATAAAAACAAGATAGTCTAGTTCGGAACAGCACACGCTCAGCTGGAGAGACATCCCCTGAAGATGGGCCCTAGCACGAGTCCGAAAGCTCAGGACAGAAAACCTCTCGTCCTGATGACCGACCCAGATTGGATACAGCAACATTATCCTGGGACATCTATATGTTTGCCCTCATTCATGACTGTTGCTTTTGTTTTTACACGGAAACCACTTCTGGACTTTGTGCTTGAGGTGGGAAAAAAAAAAAATGAAACCTTGAGTTTGGGTTTTCTACCAATTAGCTGAGGGGTTTCAAACTCGATTTCATTGAGGGATGCATCAGCGTTGTGTTTGACCTCAGGGAGGGGTGCGTGCGGCCAGCGTGAGCGTGTGGCCGTCTTGACATAATTCCTGTCAGGGGCGCCTGTGGCCCAAGCGCTCTGCCAGAGAAAACGGGCTCCCGAGCTCTGTTTTTGGCTGTGACAGCCTCCTGCAACCCTTTGGGGGGAGGGGAATCACACGCAGCCCTTGTGAACTCCGTTTTCATCCTGGACAGCCTCCAGCCCTCTGCCAATGAAAACGGAGTTTGGGTAGTATGTTTTAAATTACAGGGGGCTGCAGGAGGCTCTTGTGGCTGAAAACAGAGCTCATGAGGATGGCACATAGCTCCCCGAGCTCCGTTTTCGCTGGCAGAGGGTTGCAGGAAGCTGTCGCAGCTGAAAACCGAGCTTGCGTGGCCCTCCCGAGCACCGTTTTCGTTGGCAGAGGGTTGCAGGCGGCTGTCACAGCTGAAAACAGAGCTCGGGAGGGCCATGTGCAGCCCTCCCGAGCTCCGTTTTTCGCTGGCAGAGGCACCGTGGGCCAGGTTTTTTCTCTGTTTCCAGGGCAGCCCCGTGGGCCAGATCTCAGCACCTCATGGGCCAGATCCAGCCCGTGGCAGCAATGGAATCCTACCTGTTCCACTACTGGTTCGGTGGTCACACACGCGCACACTTAACACGCACGCAGCTAACGTGTGTGCGAAGCTTTCCACACACCAACTGAGGCCTGCAGTGCCAATCATCTGAGAGGATAAAGAAGAGAAATATGCAAGGGTGGGTGGGAGGGCTGATCCTGCACTTTTTTCTTCTCTCTGGTCGATTTTTTTCTCCTCCTTTCAGCTGATCGTCGGAGGCTTTACTTTTTTTTTCAGTTCGGCTGAACCAGTCTAAACCAGTAGCATACCACCACTTGCCCACGAGCCTTGAGTTTGACACCCCTGGTCTAATTGGCTTTTTGGGAAAAGCACCTTTTGGAACAACCCTGACCTGGAGGATTGGGAACCTCTGTAGAGACAGGCCTGCTGTTTTCTAGACCAGGTGTCGTGCCCCTGTCAGAGTCTGAATCGGAGGAGGAAGATGAGCAGCTGACAGGAAGTGGGAGTGTGGCTCCATCAGCTGTGGAGGAAACTGGAGAAGGGCAAAGTCTGGCTGGGCAAAAGCAGTGGGGAGGTAGAACAAAGGAGTTCAGAGGAAGACCCAGACTGATTCCCTCTTCATCCTAGGGCATGCAGGGAGGAACGTAGAAGAGAGCAACGTGGGTTGCGTGGCTTATGGGGGAGGAAAGGGCCCTGATTCCCTTCATTAGCCGCAGCTGGGAACACAGTTTATAAAAAAAAAAAGGCAAGCTGCATGTGACAAGCTGTTGGGAGTCAATGTGACTTTATCTTGTGTTGTCGTGGCTTATCTATTGCTATCTTCCCAACTGTGTGCGTTTTGCTGTGTTTTCAAGTCTGAAATTCTCGCTCCTGCCCTGCCAAACTAATTACTTCAGTTTGGCTTGTTTGGACTTTAAGTTCCAGTTTGTGTTGACCCTGTTTTGGACTGAATTTTCTGCAGCCAAAGGCTGTTCCTGGGAGAGTTTTTCTCCAGCCAGAAGGTAACCAGGACATTGGGGGCAAAGTTGGAGATAATAAAGGGACTCTTATTGATTATCTGACTGTGTTGCCTTTGGGCCACGCCCCTTTGGGTCATCACACCAGGGCTCTCCGACCTTTAAGACTTGTGGACTTCAATTCCCAGAGTTCTTCAACTAGCAAACCTGGCTGAGGAACTCTGGGAGTTGGAAGTCCACAAGTCTTACAAAAGTTGCCAAGGTTGGAGACCCCTGGTCTAGACACAGTTTTTAATGTATTTTAATGTACAGGGAGCCTTCAACTTATAGCAATTCATTTAGTGTCCACTCAAAGTTACAGCAGCACTGAAAAAAAAGAGACTCATGATCGTTTTCCACACTTACAACCTGTTGCTAACTCCCCATGGTCCCATGGTCCAAATCCAGATGCTGCTTGGCCACTGACTCATACTTATGACAGTTGCAGCATCTCGGGGAGGGGGAGTGCGTGATCCCCTTTTGCGCCCTTCTGACCAGCCAAGTCCACCAGGAAGTCAGATTCACTGAACGGCCGTGTTACTAATTGAACCAATGCGGCGATTCACTCAACAATGGTGGCCAGGAAAGTCGTAAAAGGGGGCACCACCCCACTTCACCAACGTCTCACTTAGCAACATCGATTTTGGGCTCCATGGTGGTTCGTAACTCAAGGACTACCTGTGTTTCTTATTCCAGCTTGAACCTCCCTCCCGTTGGAGGGATTTTTTAGTGCCGTGGTGGCTAACCGTTTTTGGGGTCCCATGGTGAAAATCTATTGAATTTTTATTTATTTCATTTGGTTTGTCAATTGCTTACAAGATAATAGGTATAAGTATAAACATAGTTATGAATACATGAAATGGGTACATATAAGAAAAATAAAAGAAGCAATAGGACAGAGACGGTTAGGCACATTGGTGCGCTTATGCACGCCCCCTACAGGCCTCTCAGGAAAGGGGTGAGGTCAATAGTAGACAGTCTAAGGTTAAAGTTTTTGGGGTTCGGGGAAGAAACCACAGGGTCAGGTAGAATATTCCAGACATTGACCACTCTGTTGCTGAGGTCGTATTTCCTGCAATCAAGTTTGGTGTGATTAACCTTGAGTTTGTATCTACTGTGTGCTCTTGTGTTGTTATGGTTGAAGCTGAAGTATTCATTGACAGGTAGGACATTGCAATGCATGATTTTATATACTATACTTAGATCGGACCGAAGGCGGGGTAGTTCCAGGTTTTCTAGGTCTAGAATTTCAAGTTTGGTATTCTGCAATGAGTAGAGGAGTGGAGAACTGTGCTAGCACCCAGAAGGCTATGTGTGCGGGGACACCCCCCCCCCCATGTCCCCCGCACATGTGCGCCTGACCCCCCTCACAAGCTGCGCATCTCTGTGTATGCGTATGCTTCTCCCAAGCATCCCCACACCCACACGCATGTGTGCCAGATACCTTTTCAGGAACAAAGTCATTCACTCTGTTCAGATTAAACCTTGAAGCTCTGTGTGGACTTTGTACTTGGTTTGTTTTTTACAGTTAATTTGACACTTTAGTTGTTGGCAGCAATTCAAAGGAGAGAAAGGTGAGTGCTTATCTCGAGCAACTATTTGGGACTCATTACCAGATAGCTGTCAGGCAGGCGGCGCGTGCGCATGCACAGTGGAACTCTTCCGGGCGACCCAGGGGTGGGATGCTACTGGTTCTGTCCAGCTCTATAGAACCGGTAGCTTTTAAGAGCAGCAAACACCAAACCGGTTCTGTGTTTGCTGCTGATTGGCCCAGCCGAATGAATGAATGAATGAATGAATGAATGAATGAATGAATGAATGAATTCTTGGCCAAGTGTGATTAGACTCACAAGGAATTTGTCTTTGGTGCATGCGTTCTCAGTATATGTAAGAAAAAATAAAATAAAATATATTCATCAAGAATCATAAGATACAACATAGTATCTAATAGTCCTAGTAAGCAATCAAATCATACTAGGGAACAAACAAAACAAGATAAATTGTAAAGTTACAAATAACACGGTTATAGTCATAAGTGGGACGAGATAGGTACTAGCAAGTGTTATTATAATCTAGTAGTAGAGGAATAATAGTAATGCAGACTTTGAAGAAAGTTGGACAGCATTGTGGGAATTATTTGTTTAGCAGAGTGATGGCGTTTGGGAAAAAATTGTTCTTGTGTCTTGTTGTTCTGGGGTGCGGTGCTCTATAGCGTCGTTTTGAGGGAAGGAGTTGAAACAGTTTATGTCCGGGATGTGAGGGGTGTGTAAATATTTTCACAGCCCTCTTTTTGATTCGTGCAGTATACAGGTTCTCAATGGAAGGCAGGTTGGAAGCCTCTGTGGTTCAGTGGTTAGAGTGCATTACTGCAAGCTACTTCTGCTGCAGCCGGCTGCCTACAATTTGGCAGTTCAGATCCCACCAGGTTCCAGGTGGACTCAGCCTTCCGTCCTTCCAAGGTGGCTAAAACGAGGACCCATATTGTTGGGGGGCAAGAGGCTGACTCTGTAAACTGCTTAGAGAGGGCTGTAAAAGCACTGTGAAGTTGTATATAGTGCTATTGTTACGTGTTATTGCCATAGTCTGTCTTTCTTTCTTTCTTTCTTTCTTTCCTTTCCTTTCCTTTCCTTCCTTCCTTCCTTCCTTCCTTCCTTCCTTCCTTCCTTCCTTCCTTCCTTCCTTCCTTCCTTCCTTTCCTTCCTTCCTTCCTTCCTTCCTTCCCTTCCTTCCTTCCTTCCTTCCTTCTCTTCCTTAATGCACAATGGTTAGAATGCAATATTGCAGGCTGACTCTGCTTATAGCCAGGAATTCAATTCTGACTGGCTCCAGACTGACTCAGCCTTTCTCCTTTGGAAGTGGGTAAAATGAGGACCCAGATTGTTGGGGCAATATGTTGACTCTGTAAACCGCTTAGAGAGGGCTGTAAAGCACTATAAAACGGTATATAAGTCTAAGAGCTATTGCTGATTGTTATTTTCTGCCGTTCTGATTATCCTGTTAACGGCAGCGTTTTGGTGTTTTCTGAATGTCTGGGGCCAAATTTTTTGCTTAATCTGCCGATTGCATTTTAGGCCTAACGTCTGTGGATCCAGATATCACTCCTACTGCTGCCCAGGCTGGAAAACTCTCCCGGGGGGGAACCAGTGCATCGTCCGTGAGTATAAATGGGGAAGGTTTTTTTTTTCTTGACTGCGTCTTCCTTGGCATCAGAAACGCGGTGTAATTTTCCAAAGTTTTTTTTTTTTTTAAATCCTGTAGAAATATCTACCAGATCACAAAGTGAGGTGGGTAAGGACCGTGTTTTACTCACTTGAAAACACAGGAGATGGTCCAGAGATCCCTTGTCAATCATTTTGCTAGTTTGATCTAGTGGTTAAGGCCCCGGGTTAGCAAATGGGAGACTGTGAGTTCAAATCCTGCCTTAACAGCCATTTTTCATGGAGGGAGGGAGGAAGACGAAATGAAATGGAGGAAAGGAAAGGAGGGAAGGGGAAGGAAAGGAGGAAGGGGATGGGGAGAAGAGAGGAGAGGAAAGGAATAGAAAGGAGGGAGGGGAGAGGAGAGGAGAGGAGAGGAGAGGAGAGGAGAGGAGAGGAGAGGAAGGAAGGAAGGAAAGAAGGAAGGAAGAAAGGAAGGAAAGGAAAAGAGGTAGGAAGGAAGGAAGGAGAGAGGGAAGGAAGGAGGGGAAGGAAAGGAAAGGAAAGAGAAAGGAAGGAAAGAGAAAAAAAGGAAAGGAAAGGATTCCAGCATTTGAACCCCGAGCTGCTTTTCTGCTCCCCCTGGAACAACTGTGAAGATGATCCAATAGTCATTCCAGGGAGTTCTGGGGGAATTGACGCCTTCTTCAAAAACCGCGCCTTGAACTGAAAATGTTTTCTTCCTCCGTTTTCAACCATCCCAGACCAATTTGTGTGCCGGACCACTCCCCACCTCCTGGGCTAAGGGGAAGAGCCCTCTACCCTCCAGTTACTCAGGCCCTTCTCCTTTCCCCACAGCCATTTGCCGGAACTCCTGCGGGGACGGCTTCTGTTCACGACCGAATATGTGCACCTGCTCCAGCGGACAGCTCTCCCCCAACTGCGGCTCTCTCGGAGGTGAGGAAAAAGTGTGGTTGTATTTGCGCGCGTCCGTGCGTGCATGCATTTATGGCTGCAGTTGTGGATTGCGTACTCAGGGTTGGCCATCATTATTGTTCCGACCGAGGCTTCCTGAGACCATAAGGTTAGTTAAAACAACTCTTGTTTTATTTCAGTGCTGGGAATTATTTTCATTTCCCGCCGGTAATGAGTCCCAAACTGTCCCTCAAGATAAGCACTCACCTTTATCTCCTTTGAATTGCTGCCAACAACTAAAGTGCCAAATGAACTGTAAAAAAATCAACTAAAGTACACACAGAGCTTGAAGGTTTAATCTGAACAGAGCGAATGATGTTGCTTCCTGCAAAAGTTTCTCTACCTTTGCCTGCCCTTTATCCCTTATGGGAGGGGCCATCACCTCCCAGCCTTACTCCCGAGTCGCCCCTTTTGTCTTAACTGTTCTTGCCTTCTGGCAGCTCTGTGCACATGTGCACTGGGAACAGGCTCCCTTTGTTCCTCTGCCTCGCTGCAGCCAGACTCTAGAGGCTCCGGAGTCATCACCCCACTCCCAGATGGTCCTGGACCCATCTCTGCATCAGATGCAGGACCCTTATCCGAGTCCTCCCCAGACTCCTAGACTGATCCCTGTTCTTTCCCGCTGTCCAATTCCGCTGCCATCTGCACAGGCTGCTGGCGGACCACAACAATTATGATTTTCCTGACTCCTGTCCTGTGGGAGCCTGCCACTCCCTGCCCTCAATAATCTCACCATCTCTCTCTGGCCTGTCTCAGTCTCCAGAAGTGAAAAATACAAATTATTGTTATGTTGTGATGCACAGCTCTGAGATTATTTATTATTACGATTGATCATCGCGCCGTCAGCCAGATGCTCGGACTGGGTTTGGCATTTTTGTCGACCTATCGAGTCCTCGCCAAGGACCTGGGATAGGCCGATGTGGGTGTTTGATGGTTGTACAGATGTGGTCGCAGGTGTTGTGGTCCACCGGCAGCCTGTGGAGACAGCAGCAAAATCAGACAGTGGCGAGGAACATGGGCAGGTCCGGGAGTCTAGGGAGGACTTGGACGAAGGTCCTGCATCTGATACAGAGATGGGGCCACCTGGGAGTTATGTGCTGACTTCGGAGCCTCCAGAATCTGACAGCAACGAGGCAGAGGAACGACGGGAGCCTGTATCCAATACACATGTGCACAGAGCTGCTAGAAGGCAAGAGCAGCTGAGACAAAAGGGGCGACTCGGGAGTAAGGCTGGGAGTTGATTGCCCCTCCCATAAGGGATAAAGGGCAGGCAAAGGTAGAGAAACCTTTGCAGGAAGCAAAGTCATTCGCTCTGTTCCGATTAAACCTTGAAGCTCTCTGTGGACTTTGAACTTGGTTTGTTTTTTACAGTTAATTTGACACTTTAGTTGTTGGCAGCAATTCAAAGGAGAGAAAGGTGGGTGCTTATCTCGAGCAACTATTTGGGACTATTTGAACATAATTCCCAACGTTGAAATAAAAAGAGAGTTGTTTGGATTAAGCGTGGGCTTAATTTTGTTCTCAGGAAGCCTTGGTCAGAACAGTAAGATGGAAGTTGTTCCCAGTAAAACCGCCTTTTGCAGTTGACTGGTGGCGAAGTTGTCAATGCCGAAGGTGTTCAAGAGATGCTCCAGTTGTTTTGCGATTGTTCCCAAGGCTGTCGATTCTCCTCTTGCTTGCTTTTCCCACAGTCGTTCTATTTCTATTTGCAGGTCCTTCTAGCTTGTGATCTTCTCCAGTTATTTCTCTTCACTTCTGCTGTCTCCAGGAAGGCACTGCCACCGTCCACTATCCAAACTTTTTTTTGTCTTTCTTATCGGCAACTGTTAAGCCCGGCGTGTTACATGTAGCAGGAGCCTGTCTGTCCGAATTCTAAAGTCCCAGAGCAATTTAACTTCTTCATTTTCTATGATTTTTCTCTATTTTATGGTCCCACCAGTTCTGGCTTTCAGTCAAAGGATGTTTCTTGCAGATCTTCCAATGCACCATTGTTGCTACTTTGTCATGTAGTCGGTCTGGGCGATCTTGTTGTAGTCAGTCTGTGCATCCTCCTCATCCTCATCATTATTATTATTTTATTATTATTATTATGTCCTCGGAAGTTGTGGAAGCACCATCACTGGAGACTTTCAAGAAGAGACGACTGCCATTTGTCAGAAATGGTGTAGGGTCTCCCACTTGGGCAGGGGGTTGGACTAGATGACCTACAAGGTCCCTTCCAACTCTGATTATCTGTTGTTGTTGTTGTTATTATTATTATTATTAATCATCGCACAAACAGGCAGATGTTCAGACCAGGTTTGGCATGTTTGTTGACCTATCGAGTCCTCGCCGAGGACCTGGGATAGGCAGAGGTGGGCGTTTGATGGTTGTACAGATGTGGTCGCAGGATGGAAGCTGATCCCAGTAAAACACGCTTTTTGCAACTGACGGGTAATGAATTTGTCAATGCCACTGATGTTCAAGGGATTGCACCCAAGGCAAACAGTCCCACATCAGTCATTCAGGTCATGGCTTTTTTAGCTACACAATTTGGGATGAACACCCTTGGGATGGTGTGGGAGTAGGAATGGATTTCCAGAGGAGAAAAAATTGCACACTACAGGAACCCTTGGCACCACTCAGGTGACCCTGAGCACACAGGTAAACCTCCTCTTAGCTGATTGCAGGCCTCAGCTAGCATTTGGAAAGCTGCGTGCGCAGTCACCAAACCCGTAGTGGAACAAGTAAGATCCCGCCGCTGCTCAATGACTCGCTCAAAGGATGCAAATGACCAGCTTTGTCTGCAAGGAGTATCAACCCTTCCATTCCCCACCATCCAGTCAGAGCTGAAGAAGCTTCTTGGAGCAGAAGCAAAACGTCTTCAAAAGAAAAAACAAAGAAGTCCAGTTGCCTCTTGGGGAAAATAAAACCAGCTGTGGACTTTCTGTTTTTTTAAGAGGTTTCGCTTCTCCTCCGAGAAGCTCCTTTACTACTGAGGTAAAGTTGAATCGCACAAGTGAACTGAAGAAGCTTCTCGAA